TTTGTCTCCGCCGCTCCGGGCCGCCGCCGCTTCCTGTTTACGGGGCCCTGCGCCTGCGCGGGGAACCGGCCCCAACCGGTCCGCACCGCTCTGCCCGCAGCCGCCCCGCTCTGGGAACGCGCGGAGAGACGGCCGCGGGAAGCCGAGGAGGAAGAAGGCGGGCTGCCGCGGCTTAACAGCCCCCTTCCGCCGCGCTACCGGGACCGCGCCGCCGGAGCGGGAACAACGGGCTAAGGAGCGGGAGTTACCTCAGGGAGCTGGGGGGGGGGGGGGGGGAGAGGGAGGGCGCCCGCTGCGCATGCGCGGAACGCGGAAGGCCGCGCACTGCGCCTGCTCGGGAGCCCGGCGGGGGGGAGCGGCGAGACCGCGGCTGCCCAGGGCGCCTGCGCAGAGAGCGAGCGCCTGCCCGCAGCGCATGCGCGGCGGGCGCCGGAGGGGGAGGGAGGTGGCAAGTAGGGCAGCACGCAGGCGCGGGAAGGCGGGTGCGCATGCGCCTTGGTCTCTGTGTAGGGAAGAGGCGCCGGAAGGGGGGGAGGGTGGGCAATTTGTGTTTACTTCGGCACTGCGCATGCGCCTCAGGGGATGGCGCGCGCGGGAGGAAGAGCGAGTGCGCTTGCGCAGGACCGCTGCGGAGTTGGGGCGGGGGGGAGTGTCCCTTGAGCCGTGACCTACTTCTTGCGGCTCCGGCGGGGCTCCGGAAGCTAAGCAAGGTCTGCTAGGGTCTGCGGCGCGGATGGGAGACCTAATCGCCGCTTCCCAGCCTCAGGCGGCGTAAGCCCCTACAGCCGCTCCATCTCTCCTAGAACAGCCCGGCTGATGTTATGCTTGCAGATGTTTCCATTTCTGGAAGAGGCTATGGGGATGCGGAAGAATGGACTGTGAAGATGAGATCATCTCACTAAATCGGGGAAAGAGCCTGAGGTCAGATAACATCACTCCAGGGAGAAGCTCCAACCATGTGGGGCCGTGTTGGGCAGGGAGCAACAGGCCCCCGAGCATGAGTCAGAGACCCCAGGGGTGAGAAGAACCCATGAGGCTATACAGAGAGGCCAGTGAGGTGATCCAACCCACCCAGCTTTGGGGAGGCCACAGCAGGTACCAGCCAACAAGAAACCACTGAGCAAAAAGCTGCTGGAAACCACAGCTGGTGAGGAAGGGTTGGAGAAAACCTGCAGACATCACAGCAACCACATCACATTTCAGCCAAGACTGAACAAAACGAATGAGAACTGATTAAAAACATGCCCTGCTGATTTGGACACTGTTCACCTCTAGGCAGCACACCCGGCTTTCCCCAAACCCTTCCCTTGCATTTTTGAAGTCTGTTTCTTGCTCTTTGAGCTTATTTCCACTGATGATATTTTGGCACAATGAGAAACCCAATACAGCTGTGTTTCTGGCTCCATCTATACCTGTACTCAGGAAGATGAAGCAAAGACCCTAGCCAAGGAGCTTCTCTAGTTACCATCGCCTCCAGTCTAAAGCTTTCAAAGAACAAAAATAGCAATTGTACTGCTACTCAAAATAGTAACTAACTAAAGGGTATTAATATGCAACAAGGCTTTACAGAAGGGTTAGAGAGGAGAAATGCACAGAATTTGGGTGGAAAACACAGAGTACTCTCATAGTACCATATACAGAGCTGGGCAGCTGGCTGCTAGGTCAGAAGGGACCCTGAAGCAGGCATCATGCTCACAGCTTTGATCGTGCTGAAATAATCACGGACTAACCGTTCCCCCAGTGTTGGGATCTCTTCCTTTTACAAGATATTTGTGCTTCTATACAGTATTCAGGATGTGGGAGTGAATCACTGCCCCAGGCTGCATCATCCAGTTGCTCGGCTGTTTTCCCACATAACTGCTATTCTTTTTTCCTCTGAAATCAGAGAAAAAGATGGCTTGAAACAACGTAAGGCTACCCTCTTTCAAGGACCCACCAGCTCTTGGCTCCGTTCTCAGCATAGACCCAACAACTTTGCTGTTACCCACCCTTAAATGCCACATCCTAACGAAGGGCACCTGGTCCCAAGCGCTGCCTCACAGCAACTTCTCATAACAAGCTGATGACACACCTGGAGGGACTGAGCCAGTCCTCCCTGCCCTCGGCCCCTTCCCTGAGGGCCTGCCCCCCCACCCCCCCCCCCCACCCCCCTACCACCCCGGGGAAGCTAAGCTGGTTATCTTGTGGCTCCCAAAGGACCAACTGCCCGCCCTGCCCCATAGCTACCAGCAACCATCCCTGCACAAACCTATTCCCATTTAGTGTGAAAAGGCTATGGCAGCATTTGAAGGCTGAGTGAGCCCCACAGCACCTTTTTTCCTCTTGTCACCCCAGTCCCTTTCCTGCCCTTTGCCTTGGGGAGAGGGACTCAAGGGATCTTGTCAGCAGCTCACAGCATTCTTGTGTCACGGGAGGGTACGTCAAGACCATGGCTGCATCATCTAAAATAGCAACCAGCCAAGCAGAGCTCACAGGAGATAGGATATATTGGGAAGAGCAGGTTAGAAGGGAAAATGCACTCAGGCCCATTCATACTGCTGTACATGGACCTGGGTGATGGCCAGCAGGTCAAAAAGGTCCCTGGGAAGTCAAAGACTTTGGAAAGAACAGACTCGCAGCTTTCCCAGTCCCACAATGGTAATTCTCCCTGTAGCCAGAGCCCATCCTTTTAAAGATGTTTGGGTCTTCAGGCTGCTATTCGCATTGAGCTTTCAGTTCCTGGACCACAAACTGCATAATGCTGGAGGGTGTCACTGTCCCACCTCAGGTCCATTATCCTGCTGGTTTCTTACTTATGTGCTTATTTTTTCTTCTTTATTTTGCTTCAAGCCATTTTTACTAGTTCTCAAGGCTGCACATTTCCAAGGACCAGTGATCGCCCATCAGTTCATGTCCCTAAGAAAAACCCCTTTCCAGCCCATAGTTACCTCTTCAGGGTGGAAGCTGACCATCTTCCTGTTAGGTCAGCCTTAAATGACACATCCTAACAAGGGCCCCTTGGTTCCAAACTTGGGTTCACTCAACAGCATCTCATGACAAGCTGAAAACACACCTGACAGCCCCACTGCTGAGTCCTGATACACTTGATGTAAGACCCTGTGAACCTCATGCCTACAGCCTCTTAGCAGGGGAAAGACTCTATTTATGGGGCCACTGATGGCATGGCCAGGCTCTTTGGGACCCTGACCAGCTCTGCACGCACCCTGTCCTCCATGCAACCTCCCAGAGCATCCCTGCAGAGCACCCCGCAGCTGCAGCACCCCAAAAAGGCTGCCAACCCTCTGCAGAGACCCTCAGCCCCTATTTCTCCTACCCCTCCCCTCCCCAACAACTGACAGATACAAAGACATAACGGTGATGTGCATAGCGATTGTGGTTAGATTTTATTGGTTTGGTTGTTTGTTGTTTTTTTTTTTTTTTTTTGTTTTTTTTTTTTTAACCCATATTATTTTAGAATACAAAATATACAGACTGGAGATGCCAAGCAGGTTGTGGGTCACCATGCCCCGGGGCAAGGGGGTCACACCATGTGACCTGCAGCGTGAGGAAGGAGGCAGCATCTGCTCCATGTGGCGGGGGACGGTGGGTACCCCAGAGAGCCTGGGAGGAGGGAGGACAGGGAGAAGGAGACAGGAGGGGTGTGGGTCAGGATACCTGCCCTCCCACCCTTGGGAAACTGCAAGTGGGAGCTCAGCCCCACAGCAAACCCAGGAACAGGAATGTGAGATGAACAATGTGTTGAATGAACCTAAAAAACACATTATGTCTGCAAGGGCTGGGCCAGGGACGGTCCCACTGGGGAGCAGCCCTGTAGCTTTGGCTCAGGGCCCTCAGGGGGGTTTCTCACGGCTCCAACACCAGGGACTCAGCCTGGGTCTGGGGCCTGGCCCAGCACCAGTACTGGCCTTGCTCACCCCATCCCCGCTGAACCCTGGCACCGCAGCTCATGCCAGCCCCAATCACCCTTGGCTGCTAAGGATGCGGAGGCTGGAGCAACAGAGCCAGAGGCTGCCGGGGCTGGGTACATTCCCAATGCCTGGGGGATTGCACAGAGGGGATTTTGGGGTTGGCATGGGGTCATTAGCCCATGGGCATCACTGTCCCAGCTACGACTCAGAGGGGTACGTGGGCAGGACAGGCCTGCCTGCACACACCCAGCTCTGAGGAGCTGGTGGCGACAAAGACATTGGGGAGCCCCAAGGTGCTGGCTCCATCCCCAAGGTCCCCAGGCAAGCTCTCACACGGCTGTGCCAGAAGGGGCTGAACCTGCCCTGCCCCAAGGTGACCCTCCAGCCCACCAACAGCACAGCAATGACTCCTGGCCAGCCTTGACTTTCTCCTCGAGTAGCTGCCATCTCAGCCATGCCCCCGGCACAGGGCTACGCGTTGGGGGACACCTCTGTGCCCCACTGCAGGGGCAGCAGGTGGGCTGGGACAGGCCAGGGCATGGAAGCAGGGAAAAGTCAGCAGCAAATGATGCCAAGACCATGGCTGTGAGGCCCAAGGTCCCAGGCAACCACCAGAGCCCAGCACACCTCCTTCCTCCACGTGTCTCCATAACCTGGCTGCCGTGTCCTCAGGGAGGGGTGGGAAGGGTGTCTCTCCGTTGGAACCTCAAAGTGGGACCCTGAGGACCCCGGTGTTCCAGGGACTCGAGGGACAGAAGCTGAGGTTGCAGCTCTCCCAGCCCAGCATCCTCCATCCTGGGGGACCAGTGCCACAAGAAGGCACCTCAGGGTCCCTTTAGTCTCCTCTCTCCCCACATCAGGATGAGCCTAAGTCTAACCAGGCCCCCTGGGATCAGGGGCTGCTCCCCACAGCTCATGCAGCAATGAACCCCCAGTGCCCGCGCAGCTGCCTTCTCCAGGCACGGCCCCTCTGCCCACCCACCAGCCCAGGGGCTAGGCAAGGAGGGTGGCCGGCAACTCACGGCTGACATGCTGGACATGTTCTCCGCAGCAGGGCATGGCCGGGGCAGGGGAGGAAGCCGAGGTACTGGCGCCCGTTGCAAGACTTTATTGGTTTCTAGACAGCGTCGCTGGAGGGTTTGAGCTGGAGCCGGTGCTGGGGGCTCCTGGGGCTGGGGCGGGTCAGGGGTGGGAGAGCCATGGCTGCACAGGGTGCTGCGCACAGGGGAAACCTCTGTCGCAGCCCAAGGCTGCGGATTCCCCGCCAGGAACAGGGGCAGGGAGGTCCATCCAGGCAAAATGCTCTCCCCCTGGCAGCTGTGCCCATGCTCTCAGGTCTGGGAGCACCTGCTTGAGATCCCCCAAGAGAGCAGAGCCAGCCTAGGGGGAAGGGAAGATCCCGGTGCCAACCACGTCTCTGGGAAGGGATGCCCCTTCCCATGGGGGTGTCTGTGCAGCTGGCAGAGGGGAGGCTCAGAGGAAGAGTCAAGAGAAGCAGGTTCTGGGCCTGGTGGCAAGTGAGCTCGGCTGGAGGCAGGTCCGGGAGTTAAATCACATTGTCGAAGAGCTGCATGGACCGCATGATGTTCTCGTCCTGCAGGGAGGAGGTGGGAAGTGTGTGGGCTGGTCACAGAACAGCAATCTGGTCAGCTCCCCCCAAACCTGGCTTTACCCTCATGGCAGCTCTGCCCCATGGGACAAAAGCCTGTGGGATTACAGGCAGTTTCCAAGCCCTACTGGGATGCATGGCTCTCCTCATCTACACAGAGATGCTGGCATGGATACAATTCCCAAAGCAGAGCCCCAGACTTGCCCCTGGGAGCTCTGTCTTCACCCCTTCTCTGCCAGGAGGGCAATGGGGGGACAGGGGTCATAGGGAAATGGTCCAGCCCTGCAGCAGAGCTGCTGGTGGCTTTACCTTCTGGCAGGACTCCAGGAACTCCTCTATTGTCACCACACCATCCTTGTTTCGGTCCATTTTCTGCAGACAAGCACAGCACAGGGGACATGGCAGGGACAGCCCCAGCCCCAGGGAGAGCCCAGCACCCCCTGCCCAGGTCCCACAGGGGCTGGACACAGCACAACCCTGCCCCAGCCACCCTCAAGAACCTGGCAGGACCAGGATGGCCTTTTCTCTCCCTGGCTCCAGCACAGCCCTGCTTCATCCCCAGTGTGGGGTGTTTTCTCCTGCCCTGTGCCAGGTTTTGGGCAGTCACTGTCTCTGTACTGGAGCTCTGCATCCCCAGGACATGCTCTGCTCACCTGGAAAAAGTTCTCCACGTGCTCCCGGGGTGCTTCCTCCCGCATGGCTGGGTAGGTGTATTTGCCCATCATGTCGTAGATGGACTTCATGATGTCCAGCATTTCCTGGAGGGAAGGGGAGCAGGGTTGCATGGTCAACAGAGGGCTCTGCCTGGTCCCCAACTCACACCCTTTTCATGATGTTCCCGAATGACTTGTGGTGTGCTGAGGTGTGTTCTTGCTGGCTCCATGCAGTGTGGGGCTCTGTGTGTGCCTGCATGTCTGACAGAGCCCCAAAGCAACACACCTTTCATCCACCCTCCACCCCAGAGACACGACAGTGCGAGGGGACCAGGAGGAACCTGTTTGCCAAGCTGAGCTCAGTAAATGTTGAAACCCCCCAGCTCTCCTCCAGATCTCAGCCAACAACCCCAAGTCCTGCCCTCATCCCTGCTGGGTGCAGACCTGTGCTGGCCCCAGGGACCAGCCTGGTCCCCTCCATCCCACCTCTTTGGTGATGCAGCCATCTTTGTTCAGGTCGTAGAGGTTGAAGGCCCAGTTCAGGCGATCATCAATGGTGCCCCGCAGGATGATGGACAGCCCAGACACAAAGTCCTGCAAGGACGGAAAAGGCAGGTGGATGGGAGTTACAGCCACAAAGGGTCTCACGGACAAAGGGCACAGCCCTGCTTGTCCCTCCCACAGAGGGGGAACTCAGCCCCAAAGCAGATGTGCCCTGGGGCTGGGCTGCCAAGGGAGATGTTGAGTATCAAAAAGAGCCTGAGGAAAACGGATTGATTGTCCCCAGATATATCCCACCCTAGTCCCTTGGATCGCAGCACCCAAGAGGACAACATGCATCAGGACTATGCCGTGACTGCGCTTGCCAGTCTGGGTACCTACAAGACACTAGCCAGAAAATACAAAAAGCCCACTTTTTTGTTGCTTTTCACTGTTTTTCCATTTCTTCTTGGAATTTAATAAACTCCACCAGCCCCTGTGAAGCTCTCCATCCATTTGCAACAGCAATGCTGCTTAGCCCAACGTGCAGTACCTGAAGGGCCATCCCCTCCTCAGCCACAGCTCACCTCAAAGCTGACGGAGCCATCGTGGTCGGTGTCAAAGGCATTGAAGAGGAAGGTGGCATACGTGCTGGAGTCTGGGGGGAGGCGCACAGTGTGAGGGGGTGCTGTGTGACACCACCCCACCCCCCCCCCGCCCCACAGAGGCACCCATGCAGGGCATGGGGATGGGCACTCACCTCCCTGTGGGAAGAACTGTGAGTAGATCTGCTTGAAGTTTTCTTCATTGACAATGCCGCTCGGGCACTCCTGCCAGGGCAAGCCTCGGTCACCTCCACATTGCAGAGAGGGGTTGAGCACCCCCCTAAATTCCTGGGGCACCCTTGCCTCGCCCCTCGGCCCTGTGCTGCCTGGTGGGGCAGCTGGTAAGGCTGCTTGGTGCATCTCCTTGATTTTGTGGGCTGCACCCCTCACTGGAGGGTCTCTGCATCCCAGGCACCCGGGGAGGGGGCTCTCTGGACCCAAGAGATAGAGCACAGGATCAGGCCTCCCCACTGAGCCCCCTGGAGGTGGGATCAGGCTGAAGCCTGATATAAACTTCAACGCCAAGGTCCCAAAAGCCTTTTCAAAGTCCGGGCACTGCTGGGTGCAGAGCACCCTGTGAGGTGGACATGGAAGCAGAGGGGGGACTAGCAGAGCTGGTCAAGGGGTACTCACGTTCTTGAAGCCTCGGTACAGAACCTGCAGCTCTTTGCGGGTGAACTTGGTCTGCTCCTGGAGCTGCTCCAGCCCCTCGGGGCGGTGGCAGACGGTGGAGAGCTCAAACTCATCCTCAACGCTGTCTGCAAGGAACCCAGGGGAAGAGAGGGTGGCTGAGGCCAGCACTGTCCTGCCCTGCCCTGCTGTGCCAGGGGGCAGGAGAGGCACCTTGCACAGCACACTCTGTCCTCTCACACCTGCCCAGGGTGACACATTTTGGGGGTGCTCTGCTCAGCCGGAGTTGTGTCTATGCCAGCAAGGGACACTCAGAGACACCCTGGGGGCAGACCAGTGTCAGACACTGCCTCCAGTACCACCCGTCCTGGGCAGAAAGGAGGTGTGAAACTCCCCCAGTGCTGAGACCACCCCTGCCTGACTGTCTCCCCCACCACCACCACAGGCATCTGCCCTGTGGAGCTGAGACCCTGGATGTTCCGCAGGTCTGTGCTGCACCGGGGCTTGTATCTGGCAGGATAGCTGCTCCCCAGAACCCCCAGCCCCAGATGCCCCCCTGGCCTTGTCTGAACTCCATCCTGCCCACTGTGCTCCCCGCTTCATCAATGGTTTCTCCTCATCATCTGGCAAGCTGCACAACCCTTGCCCGCAGCAGTCCACACCCTCAGACCCTACTGCAACCCTCCGTGGGGCAGATCAGCCCCTGCCCCTCCATACTCACCTTTTCTCCCAGGGGGGATCAGCTCACACCACGGGGCAGGGGCAGACCCCATCCAGGGGCTTGGACTCACCAAAAGGCTGAGCACACCCAGTGCAGGGGGGGCAGTGGGCTCTGGGAAGCTCTGTGCTCACTCCCTTTGCAGTCCCTTTCACACACCCCCATCACACCTCCATCTCCAAACTGACACTGAGCTTTGACCAACAACCCCCCCAGACCTTAAACCAGCGCTGGAAGGGTCCTGCTGCACTGAGCCAGCTCCAAAGCGGGTCTCACTGCTGTGCATCCTATGGGAGCTGCTCCGGGGAGCTGGAGAGGGGGAAAATCAGCCTGGAAGCAGGTGAGGTGGGAGCAGAGCCCATCAGGTTGGACCCCTCCAGGGCAGGACTGATCCTGACAGCCCCACACCCAGGCAGGCATCCCCTTCCCGCGGGCAGGGCCAGGGCAGAGGGCAGGCAGCAGCACCGCCGGGGACACACACACACAAAGGCAAGAAGAAGCACTTGCTTTCGCTGAGCGAGGGGATGGATTTGGGCCGGCAGCAGGGCAGCAGTTTGAGGAATCGCTGCTTCAGTGCTTTTTTAGTTTGGCCCGGCGGGTTGCCTGGAAGAAAGAAGGAGTCACCAAGCAGAAGAAGAGTTAACAGAGCAGCAGCCCCCGGACCCGGTGGGCAGCACCGTTGGGCACCCGGCACGGGGCAAGCGGGGCTGGAGGCAGCACATGCAGCGCGAGGTCAGAGGAGCAGGAAGGCAAAGCCCAGCCCAGGCTCTGCTTGGCCTTTCGACTTCATCCCAAGACAAACCCAGCACTGGAGTTTCCTCCTTGGGAAGGATGGGGATGGCAAAGGGGCAACCCTGCTGGGCTACCCAGCACCTCTACACCCTCCCATCGGAGCATGCCGGGGGTACACCCAGCAGCCCAGAGAGCCAGGAGATGGCAGGGCTGCACTCTGCCCTTTAGCCTCAAGGCCAAATACATACTCCCTGGTGACCCTCCCCTCCCTGCGGGGCTGTGCAAGGAGAGGGCAGGATGGAGCCCAAGAAACAGCCTGTGGCCAAACCGGGGTGTTGCAGCCTCCCCAGAGCTCAGGGCTGGGTTTGATCCTGCTGACAGCCGACGGCTGAACACAAAACATGCACCAGACCCAGCCATGAAGCCCTGACTGCAGCATGCACCCCCGCCCCAGTGTGGCGCTGGGATCCGAGACTGGGGACCTACTTTGAGACAGCCAGAAGGGGAATGGGGCTCAAGGCTTTGCCTCAACCAGGGAGGGTAAGGGGATCTCGACATTAGCCTGGCCCGTGGCCATTGCTTCCAAGTGGCCCTGCATTAACAGCAGGTCCCCCCACTGTACAGACCCACCACCCCCACCCCACCACCCCCATTCCCCCATCCAGACCTCAATAGCTTTGATCAGCCCCATCTCTCCCAGCTGGCGCTGCCCCATGGCCACAGACCTGCTCCCTCCCTTCCCGCAGGGCCCTGAAGTGCCTCAAGCCAGCAAACTCAGCACAGGACTAACACCGCAGGTGGGGAGGGGAAGAAGAGGAGGGGATGAAGGCTGTGCTGGGCTCCAGCCCCCAAAGGGAGGCAGACAGCAGCACGGTGCACCAATGGGACGAAAGGTGCAAAGTCCCTTTGGGGCTCCGCGGACACAACATTTGCTCCAAGTGCTCTGGACATCTGCAAGCAGCAGGTCACAATGCCTACACGTCCCGAGCCATGGTTTTGGGGTTGTTTCTCTAGGGCGGTAGCAGATGCGCTTCTTCAGCAGTTTTCTCAGCCTTGTGGGGCTGAGCTGAGCCCCAGGTACTGGGGAAATGGTAACCAGCTCCAGGATAGAAATGTGGGTCTGCATCCAGCAGCCCCTGATAGGCAGGTTGGTCCCTGAGTGCCCACGGGCAGGACTTTTTTTTTTTTTTGAGCTCATGTCAAGGCAGCAGACTGGGGCATGCAGCTTCATCACTCTGGAGCAATGGAGAACAGCTCCAGGAGGTCATTGTCCCAGCAGAACATCACACAAAGCCACTCAAAGAGGGCAGATTTGTCCCCAGGGAAGTGGCATCTACAGCAGGGTGCCAGTGACTTGCAAAGATGTAGGGATGCATGAATGCACCCCCTAGCATTTGTCACAGGGTGAGGGGCAAGGGTGAGGGCCAGGATCTTGGTGCTGGCAGGACAGCATATCCTGGTTTCTGTTTGCTCTAGGGTTTTCAGGCAGGTGAGGAAAGAGGCTTCTTCCTTCCTAGAAAGGGGCATCAGTTGTGCATAAAACATGATTTTGGCCCAGCTACTTTGCCAGGGCTTTAATTTGCAGAGAGAAAGGGAAATTGCACCTTTCAGCCTTCCAAGGATGCTCTGGGGCCACGTCCCTCCAGCAGAGCTAAGCTGTGGGAACAGCCCCTTCAACCGAGGGAAGGGACAGGGTGGGCAGAGCAACACCCAACACCAGGGTGATGGACCAGGGGAGGGAGCAGGGTGGGAGGGAAACCACACAGCAAGAGAGATGCAACAGAGAGTAAACTGTGGTTGGACTCACAAGGGCAGCAGGTATAGGCACGTGCAGTAGGTCAGGTCGGGTGCAAGTTACACTTTAGTTTGTTATAAAGAAGGAAAAAGAAAAAAAAAAAAATAAAGAACACAGGCGTTTTCTTAAGGAGGAAACCAAAGAGGACCCGATTCCAGGGGCCCCAGGGCAGGGGAGGGAGCATGTTCAGCACATGCAGCTTAACAACAGAAGAGGGGTGACCAGGGCTGGGGTTTTGCTGTCCTGGCTTTGATGCAGCCAAAGGCTCTGCTGGGGAGGATGCACCGTCCCTTTTCTGTCCCCAGCACCCAAACCATGAGCAAGTCTGGGGGCTCCCTGTGCTCCGCCTTGCTGGGAAACAGCTCTGCCCAAAGATCGGGAGCAGAACCCAGCCACGTGCTGCCACATCTGCAGCACAAAAGCCTGTCCCTGCCAGCGACAGCTCCTTTTCCAGATGTCACTCTGCCCTCCACCTCCCTGAAAGAGCCATCAACTGGCTGGCACAAAACAAGCCAACAGAAATGGCTGGCAGTGTTTTTTCGGCAGCAGGAGGTCTGCCGGGTTAAGTGTCTTGTTGCTTCCCATGTATCACTCCACAGCCCAGTGACTTCAAAACACACACACACACACAAACAGCCTCCATCCTTGAGAGGCACCAGAAGGGGAAGGGATTTCCCATCCCCACCTCCACACACTGTTGGAATTAATTCTGGAGGTTGCTGGACACTGGCTCTGAAGGGGCCCACGGTGGGTGAATCCCTGACCCCAGCAGTGACTGTCACTGGCACAGCCATGGACCACTTTGTACCAAGCCACCAGCAGCTGATGTGTCCTTGGGGGCTGGATCCAGCCAGTGCTGCTATGTCAAGGGGTTGCATGTTTCTGGGCTGACACCCCCTTTCCCAGGGAGGACCCAAGACTGGGCTGGGGTTGCTCCATGGTCTCCCCAGAGAGAAAGCAAGACCTGGGTTCAGCCCAATGCATAACCATGTCCCTGCCTTCCCCACAGAGCCACAGCCACCAACACCCTCCCAGTGACAGCTGGCTGGGGAGACCAACCCACCCCTTCCACAGCACCCTCCTGCTGGAAGAGACCCTACGATAACAAACCAACAAGCAGTGCCAAAACTCCCCCCTCACTCTCAGTAACCATCAATAAGCGCTTCACCACAATGGGTGGAAGATGTGCATCCAACGGCAGCAAGACCCCCCACAGTGTCCCCAGCTCTGCACCCAGGCAGGGCACCACTCCAGGATGGGAGCAGAGTACCAGCAGCCACGGGGTGGGTCATGCAGCTCCCACAGCCCTGGCTTGGCCTTGTGGGGCAATATCAGGTCAGGAGGAGCTGGTACCCCAGGGGTGAAGTGCCCCAGCACCCTGCCCTAGGAGCAGGGATGGGGTGGCAGAAGGCAGCTGGGCGAGAGGACCCTTTGCCTTTTCAGATAGCCTGGCTGGGAAGCAGGATGGCAAACCCCAGCCAGGGTAGGGAGATGAGCCAGAACAAGGGACAAGGCAGGACCAGGGCATGTCCCCAAGATCCCCCCTGCCAGGCCATGGCTCTGGGCTCCTCCAGGCAGCGATGCTGAGCCCAGCTGCCCCTACAACCTGTGGCTTGCAGTAATCCCTGTGCAGGGCTCAGCTCCGAGCAGGGTCCACCAGCCCCAGGCTCTGCTCACCCCCGCCCCCAGCTCCCAGCCTCAGGCAGTGCGGCCTCCCAGTCAGGGGGACAACAGCTCTCCAGGGTCTACAATGAAGGCCAGCAGCAGGAATAGACAGTGAGCTCCCCCAGCCACCCCGGGGAGGAGGGTGGTCAGGATGGGTCCCGACAGCAGCAGCTCTGCAAATGACCCTCATCAGTCAGCGGTGACAGAGCCGACTGTAACCAAGGCCAAGGTTCCTGCAGCAGCTGCTGGGGCCAGACGGTCATCCATTAGGGGAATGAAATCAGAGCTGGCATCTCCCGGGGAGGGGGACAGATGAAGAGTCCCTGTCCTGGGGGTGGGACAAGGGCAGCCTCAGCCCAGGCACCCAGAGCCAACAGGGCTGAAGGAGCTGGAAGCAGCAAAGCTGCTGAGTGAGACCTGCAGTTCATGGGACAGCAGAGACTCAGGGCCAGGATCTTCCCATGTGTTAGAGAGGGGAGAGTGGCTGCATGACCCTCGTGCCAAGCAGGACCTGCAGGGAGATGGGACCGTGGGCCAGAAGGGGCCACAGGGCAGAGCAGGGCTCACAGCAGTGCTGCGCCTGTTCCTATTCCCAGCCTGTGACAGTGCTCCCAGACAGCCTGGCTCTGCCCAAAGGAGGTGTCGGCAGAATAATAATTTCTCCAGCCACACCACAAACATAATATTGAAAGCACGGAATGAGCCAGGATACAGGTGCCAAAGGACAGAGGAGCTCAGGGGCTCCTCAAATAGAACAGATAAGGCTGCAGGACTGGGATGGCGATGGCCATGTCCATCTCCCTGCCACAAAACCTATGAGGAGGGACACATCCTGCCCTGTCCCCATCACCACCTCCATGGAAGGGACACTTCTGGCAGCAGGAACCAGTGCACCCAACATGCCAGAGGAGCTACCCAAAAAATGCCCCAACAGAGCAGCAGCTCCTCTTGGGGGCAGGCAGCATGTCCCATAAGAGAGCTGGTGCCCTGCATACTCATTACCTGGATGCCAACCATACCTCCCCAGTAAGGAACAGGGATGAAGCCTGGACACACCTCAGCCAGACCCCAGGCAGCTCAGGGTCATTCTCCATCACAAGGGGGTTGAAAGCACCTCCTGGGCACATCACCCTTCTCCCCTCCCTCTGCTCAGCCACTAGTTGCTCCTCTGATCACTTCTATCTGCATATCTTCTCATCACAGCTCCCATCCTGAGATCAGGCTGCCCCAACGGGATGCGATCTGCAACCCCTTCAACTCACAGCATCCTCAGTGCCAGCCAGGAGGCAGAGGGGATGAAGGCAAACAAATCGCACCCAGGCCAAGTCTGTTGGCAGCCCTTGTCTGAGCTGGGACTGTCCATGGCACATCCGAGGAAGGCAGCCAAAGGAGACGAGACAGCAGCACTGTGCAGCTCTCTGCACTCCCACCCTCACCAGACACAACCAACAGGTCCTGCATCCCTCACTCTGACATGTTTTGGGTCCTCTTGTCTGGCCACATCCAGCCCTGTGCTCAGCACCCACCTGCCAATCCAGGGAGCTCAGCACTCAGAGCAGCCACTTACTTCCTCGACCCTGGCACAGCCCCACAGGGAGGGCAAAGGGGCCAGGGGCTCCAGCCTCTTTTAGCCACGCTCCTCCCCATAGCTGCCAATTCCTGTGGCAGTGGGGAAAGCTTTCCCCTGAATAGTGCTGTACACCACATCCATTGCTCCTTGCCCCCAGTCCCAGTCACCTGCAGCCCTTTTCCCCATCATCTGGCAAAGCCCAGCCTCCTACATCCCAATGCCCCCAGGCTCTAACGCCCCAGACAGTCCTAGTACCTCACACAACACTGCTCCCCAATGCCTCCAGACCTGGGTATCCCCCACCCTAATGCTCCCAAAACCCTATCTTTCTAGCATCCTGCACCACAACACCCCACATCACAATGTCCTCAGATATTCCCACTCCAACATCCCCGATACCCATGCACCCCATTACCCCCCCCCCAACACCTCAACACTCCCAAACACCCCCAGACATCCTCACTTTCCCAGCTACATACACCCACCCACACCCTAATACCCCCCCCCCCCCAACACACACACACCAAATGCCCCAAAACACACTAATCCTTCCAAACCTCCCCCAAGCACCCTGTAGCCCCTGGGACAGGAGGTGAAGAGCACCTCCACCACAACATCCCCATCCCATTGCAACCCCATCCCCATCCCTGTCCCCGTCCCACCTCCCCTGGTCAGGTCGATGATGCCCAGCGCATGAAGTAGCTTGAGGCTGGAGCAGAGCAGCAGGATGATGCCCACCGTTTGCAGCCCCTGCGGGTCCCAGGGCGCCGCAGCAACCGACATCCCCCAGACGTGCAGCCCCAGCAGGCAGCTGGTCTGGCAGCAAGACCCAGCAAGGGAGGAGAGGGAAGGGCAGGGGAGGAGAGACCTGCCTTGGCCCTCCCTCTTCCCGCCCCGGCACCCTCTGGGGTCCCTCGGGGCACCCAGGCTGCAGGGGAGGGGAGAGCCCATGCATATGCCCAAGGGACTTAGGGGTCAGCTCTCACCCCAGGGCACCCCTGCACCTACACAGCCTGGCATGGGCACCCCACAGCACTGGAAGCCGTGGAGGGGTGCAGAACTAGCAACAAGGGGTGCGTGGGGGAGGCTTGGCTGCCCCCAACTCCCACCCCAACAGCAGCACAAGGTGGCACTGACCCCAGAGCAGAGCTGTGCACAGGGATCCTCAAGCTCATCGCTCACTGTCCTCTGGGACACCGCTGCCACAAAGCCCAGGGAACAGCCCTGCCCGGGACAGTCCCTCTGTCCCATCCCAAACTACCAAACCTGTCCCCCAGCAGTGCCCCCATGGCACAGCACAAGCAGCTCAGCCTTGTCCACTGATCACCTCCACGGACACCTGCCACCCACCTTCACCTTCTCCCTCTTCACCTCCTGGGGGAACATCTGCACCTCCCCTCACCAGCAAGTCGGTCACAGCCACATGTATGATCTGTGGCATGTGGAGGAGCCGCAGCTGGGGGCTGCCAGCCCTGGGTACCACCACACTTGCTGCTGGAAGGAAACGTGCCCCACTCCACTCCCAGGTTCTGCCTGGAGGGAGGGCAGCAGGAGGGTTGGCCAGCCTGGGTGGGGGCTCCCTGCAGACCACCCAAAGCCCTGCTTTGTGGGCAGCAGGGTAGAGACCCCATCCAGGCAGCAGTGGTTATTAGAAAGTCTCTTCCAGTTGGTTTTCCACACACCTCTCGTCTAAAAGCTGTTTCTGATCTGGCCACCCAGTGCTCCAGCAACACAGCAAGCCCCAGGGCAGGCATTTCCCTGCGTCCCTGGGAGGGGATCCTGCAGCCAAGCACAGACAGCATGTGGGACCTCCTGCTGTCTCCACTCCAGGGACCACAAGCCCACAGGGCCCCGGCCAGGGCACCTCTACTCCCACCTGTGCCCAGTCCTGGGGTCTAATCTGTTCCTTGCAGGGGAGAGGTGAAGGAGACCCTGCTGAGCTCTCACAGCACTCTGCAGCCCAACGCAACCCTGTGCTAGAGAGCCCCAGGCCGGCTCCAAGCCAGCCTCTTCCACTGGGATCCGAGGTCTCACCCTCCACCAGTGGAGCAGGGCTGCAAAGCAGTGCTGTCCCAACAGGCTCCCTTACTCTCTAGCTTTATTGCTTTTTCTCCAGCCAGCCTGCGATTTTCTCACCTCTCTGTGGCTGAGCGATCTCCCTGCCCCTCCGTCCACTGTCTCAGAGCCCACCTCAGGGGCAGGATTCAGCAGAGTGGGTCCCCTTGCTCCCCTCTCCAGGCACATCAGCAAGAGAAGGAGCAAGCCAGGCCAGAGGGAGTTGGGACGGAAGCAATGTGAAGAGTGATTAACGCAAGGCCAGAGGGAAAAAAGATTCAACAAGCTAATTATGTCTGGCTGGGCTGAGCGGGACGTGACACCACGCAGTGGCAGAGTCGGCAGGGTGGGTGCTGCAGGCACCGCGCTCCTTGGGGAGCTCAGTGGTGGGGGAGCTGCCCTGCCCTGGCCCCAGCCACGGGGACACAGGGCCAAGTCCCCTTCTCCCCCAGCTCCACCCTCTCTGGGCAAAGTGAGACAGCACAGCCCATCCTGACCCCACAGCGATGACCAGGGCTGATGTCCCTGGGTGCAAAGCATGTGGAAAATACTTCGCGAAAGGGAGTGTAGGGTCCCCAGGAGGCCTTCTTCTCCAAGACCCCAGTGCTGGCAGGATGCAGAGTATAAGGCTATGCCAGGATCCAAACTCAGAGCCTAGCCATGGCTGTGATATACCTCTGACCCTTCCCCTCCTGTTTTGCAAGCCCTCACCATGAGCAAGCAGCAATCTTCTGATTCAGCCATCACACCCTGCCCAGTCCTACAGCCATCTGAAAAACCTACCAGCCCTTGGAAAAGGAAAGGCAAGGGTTTAACCCACTGTGTGTGGGGAAATCTCTAGTGCACCCCAGCCCAGGGAATCCCAGACTTCAACCTGGAGGGCACACAGCTCTCCCAGACTGGATCTCAGTGCTCCGAGATCTACCCTACCCTCAGCCAGCTTGCCTTGACCTCTCAGGTCTGTCAAACCTGCCAGGCTGGATGGTGCCCTGAGCCAGGGGACCCCTGGCACTGCGCCCTGAAGGGCTGGTCCCTCCTGCAGCCAAGATGTCATGCTCCTGCCAAAGGGGTTCCTGGAAAGCAGGAGGAAAGCAGGGCTTGGCACAGGGCTTCGCTCTCACCAGCGCTGCAGGGATGCTCATTTTCTCCCCTCTCTGGAGGGACCCTCGCCCCAAGCCAGGCACCAGGAGGTGACCATGCTGCTCACTGCCACCACCCTCCTGCTTGGCATCCTTTGGGGTGTCTGTGGCAGGCTGCTGCTCCCTCCCATTTCTCCTTAGACTCTGGAGAGGTTTGACACCATCCCCAGCCCCTGCTTTCCCCCGCTCTGCATCCTCAGCTCCGGGGCAACAGCAGCAGGCCCCCAGGGAAGGCAGGGTCCAGTGCACCCCATGTTGGGGGCTCTCCAAAACAGCCCAGATCCCACCTGCCCCACACACAGACCCTGATCCAGCCAAGGCAGGGACAGCCCTGCCAGAGCCAGGCAGGCACCAGTTATCCTGCTGATAGCAATCTGCAGCTTCATCTAATATTCATCTGAGGCTGGGCTATGTGGGCAGCTCTCTCGCCTTTTACCTCCCACCCACCCCTCCTCCCAGCCAGGACCGATTGCTCTGTGCTGAATTATTGATGCTGCACTTCAGGAGCCAAAAATCGATAGCATTTCTCTTCGCCTGCCCCCTCCCAAGCACTTGACCAAAGCAGGTTCTTGGCAGGGGACTAGCAGCCCCCCCCATCAGACTCAGCAGTGCTTGGGTGGCTCTGCTGGGAGATGTTCAGGGCTGGGGACAGTCACGGTGGCACAGGGCAGCAGTGGGGTGACATGGCTTGTCAGTGATTAACCAGCTGGTAAACAACGCCAGCTCCAGCGCTGATGGCTCCCGGAGCACAGCACACCCACGGGAGATGCTCCATCACTGCTGCCAGACAGCGGCTCAGGTTGTGCCGGCATCCAAGGGGAGACAGTGCCACAGGGACAGGGCAAGGGGGGGCAGACAATTAGCGCTTCTGTCCAAGCTCTTGCTCAGAGGAGGGCCAGCTCCAAAATAGAGAATGTGTTGCCTGGGGACTTGTCCAGCTGATTTTGGGAAGACACCAAGCCTAGAGCTCCCCGACATCAACCCCCTCCCCTCCATGGTCCCCCCAGGGGCAGATGGGGTCTCACTGAAAGACGCTCCCACTAAGCCCTTCCCCAGGGCTGGGGTATTTTTCCAGACTCCTCTGGACAGGCTCCATCCCCAGCCCAGCACAACACCTCCCAGCACAACATAACCCTGGGACACCACCAGCACAGCCTGGGCAGAGAGGCAGCTGCAGCAAGGGACTGGCAGGGATGGGGCAGCGGGGACAGGGAGGGGGGCAGCAGCTGAGGCAGGGGAAGCACAGCAGGCAGTATTGATGGCTCTGGAGCGGGTGGCGGGGCCCCGTGTCCATTAGCAGACCTGAGCCATTAGTGTACGGTTTCAGGCTCTTTGCGGTCCCTGGGCTGTCGCTGCCGGCCCAGGCAGGGCTGGTAAACAACCCCCGGAGGGGACTCAGCATTTTCCATCCCCAGACACTGCCTGGGACCTTCCCCAGAGAGCAAAGCCTCCTACCTGCTGCCTCCTGAGCCAAAGGGGGTGACCCACACAACAGCAATTCACCCTCATCCCAACATACAGCCACTCACCCACAGGACTCCTTGCACAGTGCCCAGGGCTCAGCTCAACTCCAGACAATTTCTACTGCTCAAGCAATGGGTTTCCCTCTCCTCCAGGCACCTTTTGATGATGGGAGCAATTGCTGCCAATCAGGGGCACCTGGATCCCACTCCCACCACCACAGCTGGGGTGAATCTCCAGTCAGACCAGAGAGACACACAGCTCCCCAACCTGGGGGTGAGTGGAGGGCGACAGGGCAGGCTGTGCTTCCCTACACCACAGTGACACTGTGTCCTCCTGGGGACAAGAGAGGACTGGCAGCAAGGTTTGTATTTCATGGGAGACAGGCATGCCACTGTCCATCCCAGTCCCCTCTGGAAGGGTGCTAGCTGATGGGGACAAGGCTGGACACAGGACATCCCATCTCCAACCTCCTGCCCTGGCCCAGGCCAGAGAAAAGACACTTGCAGGGAGACAAGAAGAGTGCCCAGGGAACAAAGGATCAGGGCTCAGGCAAGGAGCAGCCACACAGGCCAAAGGTGGCCCCTGCCTCATGCTGTGCCCCTCAGGAAGGTTGCTGCCAGGGCTGGGGGTGTCTCTGCCTCCCCTCTCCACTGTGGCTGGAAGCCACTGTGCTGCAGAGCAGCCACAGTCGATGCCACCAACTTTGGTCTGAAGCTTTGGGCAGCTCCATGGGGAAGCAAAAGCACAGGGAGGCAGGAAAGGCAGGGTCTGGGGGAGGCACACCCCCAAATCACCAGCAGAACTGGAAAAAGGGGTCCAATCTGGGCACAGTCAGACTGCTCCCCACCCCAGGACTCATAGACAGGATGCCTGGGAGTTAACTCAGCCACTGCCTCAGTTTCCCTCCTGGCATGATCTACCTAGGAGCGCTGCTACTGGAGCACAGGACAGAGCAAGTAGTTAAGTAGCAACAAAAGCTTTCCTGCCCTGCAAGCAGGCTCACAGGCCCAGAGGGAGAGAGCCCCCCATCTGTCCCCTCCCTCTTCAACCCCAGGCATGCCCAGCCCAGGGGTGCTGCCCAGCACTGTGCATGGAGGGGAGCCGGTATGTGCCGCGGCACCCAGCCTGTGTGAGTGCCAGGGCTGCAGAACCAAAGCGGAGCATCCCAGGGCACCAATGCACCAGGCAAACTGCCCGTCACCTCCTCACCCTGTGCGTGCCCCTGTGCCCAGGACCAGGCAGGCCGCAGCATCCTTCAGATAGATGTTTGCAGGCACAGGCAGGGGCTGCTCAGGGCTGGGGGGGGCCCATTCACACAACCGTCACCCCTGGGAGTCCAGGGAGCACCCAGCTGAGCGGTCCTGACCTCCCTCTCACCATGCACAGAGTCCCTCGAGCGGATCTGGGCTCCGTTGAGCGTGCTCCATGCACACCGCTCAGCACCTTGCACATCCGTCATCCCCAGCCGGGCAGCACCCCCTGCGTCCCCCCACCCCGCTCAAGGGCCATAGGGTCCCTGGGGAGAGTCAGGAGCAGGGGGTATAGCAGGTACCCATCCTGCCCAGGCCTGGCTGCTCTGTACTCTGGTGCTGAGTCTGACACTTCATGTTCCGAGCGAGGTGACCACGGACCCTGGGGACACCTTGCTCCTGTAGAGGTGCTGGAAAACACCCTGGTGCCCACTTGCACGCTCACACACAGTCCCAGACCACAGCACCCCAGCACACATCAAAGTCACCACCATGCAGGAGACACCCTGCCAGCCCTGTCCCCTCCCCATGTCCCCAGCCACTGGGACCTTGCACAGAGCAGGCAGGACACCATATCCCAGGTCTCTCCTGTGGATGCAGCAGCCTCAGAGCATCCTTGGGGGCAGTTCTGGACACCCACCGCCTGCCCTCTGTGACCCCAGAGGAGCCAGCACCGCCCGCACCCGTTACCTTCCAAGGACACGGGCTCGAAGAGGCCAAATTGCTCCAGCACCTTGACGAAGAGGACCAAGACCACCAGCACTGCGATCATCTCAAGGCCTTCCAGGTTCATGGTGGGGGTGTCTCATGGCCCCACACCCCTCTACCCCCTCCCCACCGCAGTCCTGGAGCCCCCTCACCCCAGCGCTGCGGCCGCCGGACCACGCATCCCCAGGGACCCCCTCCTCTGTCCCTGAGGGGGGGATTGGGTGTCACCCCTCTACTCAGGGGCGCCTGCCATCAGACGTGGGCGAGCAAGGGGTCAGCGTGGGGCTGTGGCAGGTGGCTTGAGGAGCCACCGCCGAGAGCCCAGGCGGAGCAGGGCCGTGCCTGTGAGTAAGAGCAGAGAGAGGCCAAGTGGAGGGAGGCGTGGGGGGGTGGCGAGAATGGGGGGGCCAGGGGGGGAAGGAGGCATGCCCTCCCATTCCAATGACACCACCTCCATCGATTTGCTTAATGCAGTTGCTAAGGAAACGGGCCACAGATATTAAAAGGCACTCGGTTCCCAGGGGGGGGACATGGGGAGGGACAGGACGCTGGGCACTGGCTAAACATCCAGGATAGGGATGACTCAGACTTGTCCTCTGTGCTCCACACGAGTGCCTGCCTCATGGGCACCACCATGGCTGGGCACCCCAGGGTCCCCACAACCCTCTCCTGGGGAGGATCTGAGGCAACAGGTCCAGCTGCCCCATTTCCAGGCAGGCAGGTGGGTCCAGCCGTCTCACTGGGAGCGCTAAGGGGAGAGGGGGAGCAGGGCTGGGGGAATGGGCTGGGAGCGGGGGCTTGCGTTGCAAGATTCCTGAGATGCTGCCAAACCCACAGGCAGCACAGCAACAGGCAGGAGAGGAGGGGACACAGGGGCTGGGGGCCCAGCAGGACCAAGGGACCCCGGCCAAGGTCACACAGCAGCTGGAGGCAGAAGGCAAACCCAGACATCCGCGTGCCTTAAGCACACATCCACACACAGCCAACGGGACTATATTTAGCTCCTATGCTTTTTTTTAACAACATCCCAGCCCGTCCCTGGCTGCTCAGTCACAGGCCACGGGGACCGCCGGGGAGCCAGGTGCCCACTGGTCTCTGTCCCATCACCGGGGCTCAGCACCCCTGGGGGTACACAGCTTTCCTCGGGGATGCCACTGGCACTGCCATTCCCTGAGTGGACAAGTCCCATATGGGGTGTGAAGCAACACCAGTCCCAGCTCCAGCACTGGTGTGGCAGGCAAGGAGCAGGGCTGCCCTCATGCCACCGCTGCTCCCCACCCTGCCTTGTCCCCCCCAGCTGCCCCAGGTACAGGTGGGGTGCCCGTGCCCAGGCTATGGGGCAGATCCCCTGCTCAGCTCTAGGGTCTTCCTGCCCCCACAAAGGGCCCTGCAGATGGAAATGGGGCAGAAAGCCCCTTTTCCTCCCTGTTGACTTTGTGCCAAGAGGGAAACGTGTCACTAGGGGAAGAAACGTCATCCTGGAGCACCTGTGGGTAGAAGGGGAGGTGCTGGCTGATGCTGGCAAGAGCTTTCAGCAGGACTACCCAACACCAACCCCCCCAGGCCCAGAACTGCCCCCCAGGGCCCCATTCCCAGCCCAGGAGGCTGCAGGTTTGTCCCCTGGCAGGGGCCGGAGAGGCCCGGTGGCTCAGTCCCAGGCACGGCTGGGCTATCTAGCGGCTCCGTGCCACCAGGCTTGGCGTCTCCTGCCAGCCTGGAGCGTGCTCCCAAGGCTCTGACACCAGCAAAAGATGCCAGAGATGCATCAGAGGCGGCTTGGGGAGAGAGATGAAAGTCCTCCCTGGGGAAACATCCTTCAGGCTGGAAGTTTTCAGACCTGACACTTCCTTTTCTTGGAAAGAGGTGTTTCCAGGCACTCTGCCTGGATTTCACCCAGCTGGCTTCTGGCTTTGCCCCCACCTCCAGCCAGTCCCTTCGGGGACGGGGCAGTGCAGGCCTGTTGCACTCGCAGAGGAAGTTTCTCACTGACACCAACTGCATATTTAAAGCCATTTTTCTTGCTGAGTCCCGGTTGCAAACCATCCTCTCACTGAGCCTCCAGCTGCTCACAGACCCAATGCCTGTCTTGCACACCACGGGGCTATTTATGCAACCTAATTTTGGCCAGAAACAGAGGTAGAGGAGCCCTTCCAGACTGAGCCAAGACTTATACCAGCAAAGAGGGTTTGGGGCAGCTCCTCTGCCAAGCAAACCTGCTCAGCCCACACGAGCAGACTGTCATAGGGCCCTCGTGTGTCTCTGCTGGCATCGTGGGATGCTGGGCTGACAGGCGCAGCGGCAGGTCAGCCATGGAGCGACAGCTTCCCCGCCTGCCCTCGTGCCCGTCCTGTGCCAGCTGGCCTCCCCAGCTGAGCAGCAATAAATCACACGCCGGCCGCCATGTCAGGATTACTCGTTTCCACGCTGAGGCTGTTAATAAAATCCCTCCGCTGTTTGCTGCTGGCATGACGCAGGATCCCACCAGGACCGGCACAGGCACCTGGCACCAGTCCCATGTCCCAGTGCCAAACACTGTCCCAGCTCCCAGCACCCCCAGACTCACCATGGTTGCTCACTCAGAGCACATCCCCTCCCACTGAGGGCAGCTCCAGATGGGCTGGGGGTGTTTTAGGAGATGACCCCCTCGACTCACCCAGGTTCCCAGGGGTGCTCCTCCATCTGGAGATGCCCCGAGGATGGAGGAGACACGTGGGACCACCCGTGGGGATTTGCCCATGGAGCCAGACCTGCAGCCGCCTGAAAGGGATACTCAAAGGGCCATCCAAAGCGTACATACCCTAACAGAAGTGAGACACAGCTTCGCTCCCCATCCAAGGGCTCCTCACCCCTGCAGCCAGCCAGCATTTGGCCATGCCTTGGGAAGACTCATGAGGCCCTGGCTGAGCTGTGCAGTGAGAGGTCACGCAGATGGATGGAGAAATGCATGCCCCAGGCAGGAGAAGCCCAGCACGTCCCCAGACACACAGCACCAGTGCCACCCCTTCTGCCCTGCTCCTTGCCTTGGCAGGGTCTTACCCTGCAAAGTCCCGGACACACACATCCCACTGCCGCAGGGCTTAGAGAGACCCTTCGCCAGGGAAACCGGGACCCCCGCCACATCCCAGAGCTCCTCAACACACCAGCAGAGGAGCAAAGATGTAGGTCATACCCAAAGGGACCGAGAGCCCCAAAATGCAGGTTGAGGCCCCAGCATTGGCACCAGACACCGCCCCACAGAGTGGGAGGCACTGGGGAGCCCGTCTGCATCCCCATCTCGCAGGGAGGAGCAGCGGTACCTGGACACCGGCAGCACGGCGGTGCCGGATGCCCCCGGAGCAGCCCTGGGCACCACCGCAGCTCGGCCAGGGCTGCCACCGGCTGCTCTCACACACAGCGCAGCAGGACCAGAGCCAGGAGGAACAAATAAAGTGACCGAGGAGGAGATTAAGGTGCCCCAAAGAGGCAGAGAGGGGGGTCCCCAATCACTCTCCCGGCTCGGCTCGCTGCCTGTCCTGTGGATGGGGACAGGACAGGCCAGTGCCACCCCATCCCCTCGCGTCCCCAACCCCGTACCTTCGATGCCGCTGATGATTTTGAAGCAGCGGGTGGTGAACCAATAGGAGATGAGGAGGAGGATGGCAATCAGGGAGGCATAGAGCAGGCTGTCGTTGTGCAGGGATGTCCTCTCCATGGCTCCATCCCCTGTGCCCGCTCGCGCCCCCCGCCCAGCCCCGCCGCGCTATCTGGGGCAGCCCCGTCCCGGCAGTCCCCCCGCCAGAGGAGCCGGCCACCGCGGGCAGGGAGGCGGGGGGCTGCGCGGGCAAGCAGGCAGGTAATTGGGAGCGTTGTGTGAGAGCCAGGCTCCCAAACCAATTACCTTAATTGTGCTCAGGCAGCACATGGCAAACAGTTAAAAATAACCCTCCCGGCCCGGGGGGAGAGTGGCACTATCAGCCAGGAGAAGGAAGCAGGGGGCAGAAAACAGATGGGTCTCACTACACATGTGGCGGTCTCCGTGCCACATGGCCAGCAAGACATTGCTGCAGCCCAAAGGCTGCTCTGAGTTCACTGATGACCCCAGGACTCTCAGGGCTCAGCTCCTCACTGCCACCCTGCAGGAGGAGCTGGGAGTCCTGGAAATGGGTTCCCCAGGGAACGATGCTGCAGCCCAGGATTGGCAAACACCAGGATCTCCGCTGAGATGCCTGTGCCCGTCCTTGCTCCAGACACTGGGCCTTGAAGGAAGGTGTCTCTGCAGCCCTGGCAGCCCAGAGAGCTGGGTCTGGCAGAGAGGCACTGTGATCTTGTCCTCTGTGCCCCAGCACAGCACCTCCCCAGGGATGCCCAGGATCAGCATCTGATTTTCTCAGGTTGGAGTCAGAGCCAACCAGCCTGGTTCCTGCGCTGCGCTGCTGGGTACACTTGGGTAGTGCCACTGTGGGTTTGGGCACACTCACTCACAGACCCCAAACCCTGCAGGATGAGCTGCACCCATGTCTGAGACACCTCTGGTCCCCGGACCGTGCTTGGCCCCACTGGCCACCCCATGAGACACGTGGCTGGGGAATATGCTGGACCCAAGTGTTTCACCCTGACACCTCCCTGCATACAAGATGTCCCATCCCCACCTCTGCAGCTGCAGCCAGGGGACGTGGCCACCCAGGCATGGGGCAAGGAGCCTCTCAGTGCGCAGAACCCAGGTGGCTGGGTCTTTCCCTGCCTTCCTTCCTCTCTCCTCCAAGACTCTGAGCATCCACAGGGGACACAGGACAGGACGGCAAAGTGGCACTGCCACGCACCCATAGCTTGGCGCTGGGGAGGCACACAGACCCTGTAACACTGCCCCAGGCAGAGCTGTGCCAGGATGGGCAGCCCAAGCTGTCATCGAGTCCACGCCACCTATCCCACTTTGGGCTGTGATCATAGCAGATGTGAAGCGTCCCCCTCCCG